TACACCTCACATGAGAATGTTTGCTTTTGTCCACAAGCAAGCATTCAGGAGCGGACCTCAGCGGCCGTGAGAGTGTCTTCTTCACTTAATGAGGCTCAAACAGGAAGTTTTGTGTAAATAAAAGAGTGAATAGATAACATGGCTATTATGCATATGTGACAAATATGAGTAAAATATAATCTCTCATATTTGGTTGATACTATAGGCTGATTTTATAACATCAAGTGATCTGAATTGATTAAATGTATCCTGTGCAGACTCATGTTGGACAAGCTCTCTCCTGCAAATGCAAGGTGGATGAATTTGAGTTCCTCATTTGCCTAAAATCCTCGGTTGTTACTGATTTTGGAGAAGACAGTGTGGGTGAAGGTGTGTCAACTCTGCTGATGCAACCCTTTCAGTGTAAGAATAATACCTGACACAGAAGGAGAGTATTGGTGTATAAAGTGCTCAGATTAAAAAAGCTAAATGTGGAAGAGTGGTGTTTGAATAACTTGCAGGCTGTATTAGATGGCAGATTCTCTTCATTTTCCTATTTCAGTTTTACATTTGATTCTGTATCTGACAGCGATGATTCACTCACATAAAAAATACAGAGCTTCCCTCTGTGAAGGGTTGGATCAGTTTAAAGTTTGACAAAATAGTTCTCTGACCACCTCTACCGGTTTTTCCTGAAGATGCGCCCCAGGCTCCATCATGCAGGCTGACAGAGAGAGAGAGAGAGAGAGAAAGAAAACATGCAATGCATTGGTTAAAGAAGACTGGAGCCTTTTCCTTTATATCAAAGAGTGTGGAGAACACACGTTTTTATTTTCTCTCTCAGCAGGATTTACATGTTGATAAAGATCTGGATAGACAGAAACCTACTGTATGTGGAATGTAGCTCTCTCTCTCTCTCTCCCTCTCTCTCTCTCTCTAATAAGTGGGTGTGTCTTCATGTCTCAACATGGCATGCTTCAGTTGATAGACAGCTGCACTTACCTTTTTACCTGCCAGGTGAGACACGAAACAACATTCAGACCTCAGAGTTAATTTTCACTCACTCAGTGAACGCAGCAGCTTGTTCATCCTTCGCAGGCCCCTCGAATGATTGGATGACACCGACCAGGACAGGTGAGTTCAGTTACCTGTAAATACATATTGTTCTGTTTTGTCTGTGCAGTTATGCAACACTGTCAACAGGCTGTATTGGTAGTTACGATGTCATATCACCATGTTCTCTTCAGTTTTTCAATGCAAACACCTGTAGAGGCTGGCTATATGATAGTGCAGCACACTATGATTATTAAGACAACATATCAAACGAGTTTCAGCCTAAACCTGAATCAATATTTGCTTGCAGTAGTGAGGATCATTGTGTGTATTTTGTGATATATGAGCACTGAAAAAGCATGATCAAACATGTTTTTACACATTTCCACCCACACACAACTACTATTGGTGATATACAGAATAATAATTATGTTTTGTCTCAACAGGATTATTTTACAACATTTCTGTTACCCGCTCAGCTGGAAACTTTGCCTGGGAATTTGTGTGTTAAAAAATTTCAGTCATTGTTTCTGGTCGTGTGTGTAATGTACATCCCAGGAAAAACTGAGGTACCACAATGCAGGTTTGAATGGTATTTGTGTTGGGGGAATATATTTTCAGGCTGAGGTGCAAAATTGAACTCTGCTTTTAAAAAATGTCATGGATTTTTTTTTTAAAACACTGCAAACTGTCAATATATGTTAAAAGAGCATTTGGGAATTCAAATCCTACCAACCAAATGTCTAATCAGATATCCAAGCATAGTCTCATCTGAGGAGCATTTTAGCAGACGATCTTAAAATTCACCAGACACTAAATCCACAAGGAGTTAAACAGGAATACTGTCTTAAATCTCCCAACAACAGCAGCAGCCACTTTTCTGGTTATGGAGGTGTAACTTCCAGTAGTTTGGTTGTGACATATCCCACTGAGGGCATGGCAGTGGTGTTACCACATGCAGGCGAAGCATCAGTATGTCAGGTATGTTGGTGAACCAGCTCCACTTAGACGTTCTCAGATGGTGGGTGTAACTCTGTACTTCCCTTGACTGTGGCATGATTTATTAAAAATGCTGACAATAAAAGATTAATGCCACTGACAGCAAGCACTTCACACAAGGAAATAACTTCACAATGAAAACTATGAGCACATGACTGCATCCAAGATAGAGATTAAAGAATTAGCACTGCATTGAAGTATTTGTATGTTGTTTTTCTTTTAAAATAAAATCCCATCTAGGGACAAATGTTACATATCAGTTTATGATTTCAGGGAATATATGCTTGTGTATCTGTTAAAACAAAAATAAACGTGGGGGAAAAATAATGCTTGCACAGCATTGTATTGTCATAATGTCATGTAATTTAGCTTGAATCATTTATATGAGCAAACAGCTGGAGATCTACACATACTTCAAACAGGTTTCTTCAAACTCAGTTCCCTTTCATTTGGTATTTCTGAGTTAACTTTGTCCAACAGGTGAGTGACACATTACGTAACATTCAGAACAAATGTGACATGAAACTGGGAGTCAGCCAACACCACCACAATTTAAAAATCTAAATGCTCTTTGTTGCTTTTGCTATGCAGATTGTCCTCAGGGCCAAAAGTTAAGCAGGTCAGTTGCTAGAGGGCGAGTTTGGAGCTGAAAAGGCAGTTTTTCTTTTTTGGGAAGCTTAAAACCTGTACTACAGGTATATGGTGACATTTCTGACAGTGGCAGAATGGTAAAAAAGTGACTTTACTAATTACTTTAGAAACCATAAGGTATTTTTTATTAAAATGTTATCTGGGACCTGGGCCTCTCTGTTTCACTGGTTGTACTCCAACGCACTGAGCCGCCTCGTGTTTATGTGGCCTAACTGTGTGACTTAATGAATGAGTCGTATTCATCAACAGTGGAAACGCTGATACAGTTTATTACATTTTGAGATGCTATAAGTAAAAGCAACTTGTTGATTCCTTTTACTTTAAAAAATGATTCTGTTACAGCAAATGCCAACACATACAGTATGTGTTGATTCATGATTGGTAGATTGCATACAAGCCCTGAATTAAAGAAAATTAAAAAAATGTAACAATGTTTGATGTAGACAGCACTTGATTCCAAAGTAATGTCTGATGCACAACATCCACAAATACATAAAAACGCATCCTGATCAGGTCAATTTTGTACACTTTCTTTTCAACATGTCCACAAGATGGTGCTCTCACCAAAGAATAAATTACGAGTCCCACCATGGTGGGTGTGGTAGCTCAACTACAACCACTACTCTAAGCTTTTCCCATTTTTAAGTCCCTGAAAAAATTACAAATGGCACAAATTTCATTCTGTCAACAGCAATTAGCACATATGATTCAATAACACCTGCATATTTGTCCTCAGCGATACAAACATGTCACACTTGGGTAAAGAAAACTGCTCATTTTCTTTTAACAGGGAGGGAAGCATTTTGGAAGCTGATTTTTAATTTCAGCAACATTTATTACAAAATGAAAACCTTGAAGCAGCACTAAATGTTCACTGGAGTGAATCACTTCTGTGGCCACCACAAACATTTCAGTAAACTCAAAAGATTGAATGTGCTTTTCATTTTCCTTATCGTCCTTCATCATTCAATATGAACAGAAATTAACGGATCCTGGAGCAGTAAAAACACTAAAATAGGTCCCTTTAAGCAGTGATATATATTGTAGGTCAACATTTCAGGCAGTTCCTGTGACTGGTTTCCCTCAATCCCGACTTCTATTGTGGGACTGTTGCCTTTTCTGCAGGCAGGAAGGGATATCTGCCTTTGAGTTTGAGACAAAGAGAAGAGGACTGGAAGGGACGGCAGGACAGCTAGAGGGAATGGAAACTATGGGAACAATCTGGACCAGCAAAATATTGTATAAAAATAAAATGTAAGGCTCCCTTTTTGAACAAAGATAACTAGTGGGAAACAAGATAAAGGGACTTAAAAGAGAATCTTGTATTATCCACAATGGGGAACATGATTTGGTAGAACGACTAAATAATAATAATAAAAAAAAAACAAGAAAAGAAAATCAGATATTTACATTTAAATATAAAGAACAAATATTCAATCGCACATCGTCTGTGCAGTAAGCACAAGCATAAACACAGACAAGCAATGTACATGCATTTCATTTAGGTACTGGTTCTTTTATGGGCCAGTTTTGGTTTGTAAATGATGAGCTGATATGAAATATTTGCAGAAAAGTGATATTTTGTACAGTAATACATGAGCCAACGCATATTTTATTCATTCACAAAGAGAAGATTATTGGCTTTTTGTGGCTTTAGCCCTTTCTGACAATAAAGGAGGGAGACATAATTTGATATAGAGCTGAAATGCATGTACACAGTTGTACACTTTCAGTAAGCATGCACATAGAAACAGTGAGTATCATCCATCCGCTTTCAGTTTAAGGGTGATGGCGTTAAAAAGTGCCCCTCACAAGCAGAACAAGACACAGCCTACAGCCAATTAAATGTCCATGGATCATCACAAAGCTCCACCTCCTCTGCAGTGGAACAAGGTGGTAAACATGTCAAAGCCAAAACTACCAGCATCTTGATAAAGGCTTATTTCTGTTTAGTTTGAATACAGCAACAGAGATGTAACCCTCCAGAGTCATACACTGTGTGGCACATGGGTCGGGCCTGTGTAGAGAGAACAGAACTGCAGCATGGGTGTACAAAGCAGCTGCCATGTTGGTATCTAAGACACTGTAGCAGCCATGTTGGAGCAGACAGGCACATCCCATGTAGAGTCATGAGGAAATTTGAGATTGCATGGTTATATCCAGCGGAGGCCTTGAGCCCCTGTGATGACACGGTCCACAGATGAACATCAGCACATGACGACGACGGCGGTCGAGGAGCCGGTTCCTCGATTTTAACAGCTAAGAATCAGGGGAGTTTATGTCAAAAAGGCTGATATTTTGGCTTGTCTTGATGTCGAGTCAGTTAAAATAATACAATTTACAAATAAAAAAAAAAAAAAAAAGAAGGAAAATATGAGTGTGGTTCCAGCACTCACAGACCCACTTCCTTCACTCTGGGGCCAACTTTGGAGGGTATTAAAAAAAAAAAATCCCATTGCCAACTCATCAGATTGTCCCAAGGATTTTGGTCAACAGAGTGCGAATGGTTGAAAACAAAAAGATAAATTAAAAAAAAGAGGACAAAGAAGGACTGACAGCATGTCTGGACATAGTAGAGAGCCTGAGTCACCGCTTGTAATAGGCACCTGGAAAAGATGGAAGAGACCGTCACAGATCCATCAGCAGCTTGACACATCACATTGTAATTTAAGTTGTATTGTAGTTGTGGTGTTTTTGGGCTTTCACTTTTTCCTTCTTTAAGATCTGGAATTTGTTTCTGCTGATTATGCTTACCACTCTCCTAGTTATGTGAAACAAGAACTGTCTCTGCTTTGATATAATACATCACTTCCCTGGTGGCCTGGGGGTTAAGGCCATCAGCCACAACCATCTTTGGTTTGTTCCCTGTCTCTCTCTCTTCCCCCTAATTTCCTGTCATTCCTCAACTGTCAACTGAAGAATAAGAATAAATATTATATATATAAAAAATATATATAACCTCCTGTGTGCCCCGGTCTTTTCTCAAAGACAGTCTACCCAATGGGGATTTTCATTTTAACACAAACCTCCAAATACTAGATAGTAATGTCAATTATTTTTTGGGACTGATACATAATAGAAAGGGAACGTGAGCTGAGGACATTTATTTGCAGGTTTCTAGCTTTTGCTAATTCAAAATCAACACTTCTGCTCCAAAATATGTGCAGTCAGGACAGTCTGGATGCACAGAGCTATAAAAACTGTCCCAAAGACTAAAAATCGGACAAGCTAAAGAAAAATAGTAAGCAGCAATGTTAACTATATGCAATTTATTGTCATTTATGCATCCTTCTTATTAGATAGTACTTTAGGTTTAAGTATAATAAATACAGCCACTCTGTCACATAGACTTCATACCTTTGTAAGCAGCCTCAGGTCGGGTGGGGGCGCGGGGAGGAACAGGGTGGTCCGAGTAGCCGTAGCCAGGATTCACATTCTCATAGTCGTGTGCACGAGGCTGAGGAGGTCTGAGACAGTTGGAGAAAAACAGAAAGAAAATTAAAGAAAAGACATTTCTGAGGTTTCTACTTCTTGACTGACTAGAAATATTTGGTCTGAAGAGTTAGTCTTGCAGAGTCTTGTACCTGGCAGGCTTGTTGTGGTTCCTCTGCCTCTGGTATTCATACTCATCTCGTGTTCTGGGCCGGACAACTTCCTCTGAATTTGGCTGGAAACCAAGAAAAATTATGGTTCTTATAATTACGGTTCTAGTACCACCACAGTGGAAATACACACACACACACACAATAAAGTCATAGGCTGCAAAAATATTTCACCCCGAAGCACACATTTTAAAATTTGTACGGTTGCGGAAAATTACCCTGTAGTCTCCCTCTTGCCGCCTCCTTTCCATTGCCACCCTCTCCTTCTCTCGCTCCTTCTCTTTCTCCCGCTCTCTCTCATTCTCCCGTTCACGATTCTTCCTGTACTCCTTTTTCTCTTGTTCCATGAGCAGTCGGGCGATTTCCTGCCAGGGCAAGACATCAGACACATCCACATCAAAAGAAAAAAAAGGGCAACATCTCCATTGTGTTTCATGTAAATACAAATTTGTGTAATATACAGTATATCCCCAGTGTGCTGAAACTGTCATATTCTGAAAACACCCTGTTCATAGCTATATAGGTTTTTAAGAACATTAAATCAGTAAAATGTCACTGGTACAGTAGTTTATAACTTCTTACATAATCTTGGTCAAGAATATGGTTTAGACATGGCTTTATATACTCATGGTTAAATGACGATAAAGCTGATTCAATTGGATGAGCTCAGGAAATGAAAGGATATAAAAAGAGGACAGACAGCATAAAAAAAAGTTTCCAGACTTCATGCCCACTCACCTCATCCTGTGCCACTTGGGCTGCGCGCACATGCATCTTGCTTGCCTGAAACCAGAAAACAATCAAAAAGTCATATTTTCCCCCAGAGTGGAACACATTGTTCCAACATTATATAACATAGGAAATGGCTGAGATTGAGGCCTTTCAGTATGTTTTTTTGGGACATACAGACTTCAGGGCATTAACAGCAGAGACGTATATTGCTTTATCACACTGTGTTATTTCAGTGCTTCTATCATACAGCATTCGCTACAGATGAAGCTGTAGCGAATGTTCTTTGAAGCATGCCAAATGAAAAGTAGACTTCACACGTACTCGCACTAACCCTTATACACTGTTTTCTTAAAATAAAGCCTCATGTTATTACCACCAAAAACCTAATTCTATACAAGTCCAATGGTGCGAAGAACTGACACTGTACTTTTTATAAGCCTACTGTCAAGACTTTTGATATCGGATTTATTATAAGCTGAATATCTGACTTTGTATATCTGACTTGACACATTCGAGCACCATCCAGAAGCTGGGTGTTAGTATTCAGAGCTGTTGCTCTTTGTAGCCTTCAATAATACCAAGTTTAAGTGCTTGAGGTTGGTCTTGGCTTACAGTATTCATTACTGCCTGCACTTTTAACATGCACAGTAGCACTTTTCTTGTTTTCATCTCTCAGCAGAACACAGCAGCTTAATGGAGGAAGAGTTGTTAAATGCATAAAACTTTTATCATAAAATGTCTTCACATATTAAACAGTTTGATTTGATTTTAAGCATGCACATTAAAATGTTCACCTTTTATTTGCAGAAATTAATAAAAACTAATACTTCTCTGGTGTGCTCCCTCACTTTGATTTCCTCCTCTTGCAGTCTCCTGGCCACCTCCATGTCCTTCAGCTCCAGCTCACGGAGATCGAGCTTGGTCAGCCCCTTAGTGGCTTCCCTCAGCCCGTACTCGGTTTCTGCTACTACTACTGTTCCACTCCCTTTGTGCACAATACGACCTGCGGATGTCGGCACATTATAGTAACAGATTAGGGCCGCAACCAATGATCATTTTCGGGTTTCAATTATTTTGCGTTTCACAACAATTTCCCGGAGCCCAGGGCTTTGTATTCAAATTGATTGCTTTTTTTGTCTGATTTCTTTTGGCATCTTCATAATAAGCAAAATGAAAGATTAAAATTAGCTAAATCATTTTTGAGTAATAGACTAATTGTTTCAGCACTAGAACAAAGAAAATCATATCTGGATTAAAGCCACAAGGCACCTAAAAGGGCTGCAGTGCATTGCCACTGGTGTTTATCACTGTGTTTTGTTTAATCCCTTCCACAGCTTCAGGATAACATAATACAACCAGCGCACAAGACCTGCAGCCCCTTGTGAATGCCACATTCTAACATCATCAAAATCCATGAAGCTATTCTACAACAAAATCACAGCACACATTTCACTCTCAGTGTAACAGGCAAGGCAAGAATGAGCGAACCCCACAGCACAACAAACCATCAGAATCACATCAGTCATCAGTAATTACTGTAAAATGATCATCGTCCTCATGAGAACAGAGAAAATTAAAGTCTTCATTAGTGATTGCAATGTTAGATCAACCCACCACCTGAGATTGCCACAGCTAAAAAAGCAGCTCCAGCACACCACACAAACACCCCCGCAGCACCCAGAGGGGGGCTCAGGGTGGTACCTGTCTCTTCGTTGGGGTGAGTATGACTGCGTTCCCTGCCGGGGACCTTCCCCTTGTCGGGTGAGAACTCTTTGATGTTCCCTCTCCCTTCGTCGCTCCTGAACTCCTCAAACACCTCTTCGGGGCCTGAGTGGACACGCTGCCGGCCCCTGGCCCTCCTCTCCCTCTCACCATCATCCCCTTCCTCCCCCCAAGACGCCCTGCCCTCCCTTGGCCAGTCCCTGCTGTGCCCTGGCTCCCCTTCAAGTCCTCTCTCCCTGCTCCTGGTTCTCGCTCGTTGTCTATCTCTGTCTTTCTGTCTGTGTCTGTCCCCGCTCTGTCCTCTATCTCTGGATCTTTCCCTGTCTCTTCCTCCTGCTCTCACCTTCCTGGGGTCGTGCTCCCCGTCTCTCCTCTGGTCTTTTCCCATGTGACTTTCCCTTTCATGCTGCCTGTCCCTTTGTCTTTCCCTGGCCTTATCTCTATCTACAGGACTCTGTGGGGGAGGTGGTCTGGCTGGTCTCTCCTTCCTCCTCACCACTTTCTCTGCATTCTCTGTCTCTGGACCCCTGGCTCTGCCAGTCTCTGTGGGTTCATAAACTGGGTACCTGTCCCCGTGTTTCCCTCTGGAGGGCAGCAGGTGCTCTGGGTATGGGTCTGCATGTCTACTTGGCCCTCCTTCTGCCACTAGGTAATGCTCGGGGTATCTGGAGCGACTGTGGGGTGCTACTGGGTCCTGTTTTGGGTACCTGCTCCTTTTGGGCTCTATTGAGCTATAATCTGGGGAGTTATCACGATGTGAGCTCACTGGAGCATATGCATCATATCGACCTGGGGACGTCGATTTGTGACGGGTGTGTTTGTCCAAGTCAAGGGGTCTTCTTGCAGCTGAACAGGGCAGAGATGAAGGAGTGAGGGTGGAAGGAGGGCAGCATGGAGAGAATGATGAAGATGATGGTTGATGAGAACATGGAAACGTGAAAAATGACACAGGAAATACATAAGCTAAGGTGGTTAGTAAGCACCTAGTTAGGCAGCACCTAACCTAGAATGATGGTCAAAAGACAGATGTAAAGTGTCGGTGTTAGTTGCACCCAATATGTCCAAAGATGTGCTCATTACTGTGGGGAAATTAAAATGAGGTCCCAACAAATGTTTTGAGATGGTAATATGAATATAGAACAGCCGGTATAGTGTATAATACTGTGTCTTGTTAGATGATTGAATCAAATGGAATTGAACGTGAGAATGAGAACAACATGTTCTCTAAGAACAGTCCTGCTGGGAGTTGGCCTGTGACTGTTTGAATGAAAACAAATGAGTTGTAAAGCACATTGAGGAAACACACAGCAGAGGCCGGCCCTCTGTGCAGAGTCAGCTCAATGGAATTCAGTCATCTAACCGGCTGCTTAATGTCTAAACTTTTGAAAAAGGGGGCAGGTACACAGACAGTTTACCTGGTACCTGCTCAGAGTGATTGGGCTATTTTAAGGGTTCGCTTTCTTCTGCCCCATCTCACTTTTAAATACATGTTCCCATCTTTCCTACACTCTCTCACATTCTGACAGGCGTTTATCCGTCAAGCGGAGACAGATTCTGCCCCCACGCTGGCTCGTGTGCAACTGTAATCCACTGGATTAAGACAAACACAGCCAGCAGCCTCTCATTTCCTGAGAGGTGCGGCCAATTACATGACCTGATGAAAAGCAATGAGAGCATACAAAAAGCTGTGTGTGTGTACAGATGTATAAAAAAGTATATAAAACAACACTCTACGAATATCCACGTATAAGCACAAGATGACAGTTTCACTTTAAAAAACTAAACACCTTTGTGCACAGCGACACACATATCTGGTTACTCACTGGGAAAGCAGTCCCTTACAGCGATAGCTGCAGGGTAAACAAAGGTACTCAATCTTTGTTCTACTTTGTGTACATTCACACTGCCACAGTTGTATGCACACACACACAGTCAGCAGGGACAGTAGGTGAGTGGTTATGTGACTTGCGAGGCAACACTGCAAACATAGTGAACCTGGCAGTGGCACAAATATTCTAGTATAAAGAGAGCAGGGCAGAGTGGCACAGTTGCCATGGATGAACTGTAGGTTCATCCCGACTGCCTGCCATGTGAGACATCTTTAGAAAGAGGTTATGCACTGGGACAGCTGATGATCCATACAGACACAACAGGACAGGTAGACTGTCAGCTAAAGATACTTAGTCCCGTTTGTGTTAAAGTATAGACATTGTATTCTCTAAACACTGCCTCCACAGCAGCTCTTCTGTTCACAATTGTCCCCGTCCCTCTGTGCTGTTTTGCATCAGCTGTTTCACTTAACATACGTTAAGTGAAACAGCTTACATAGGAGTAACCTAAAACTCCTCTTGTAAGCAGACAATAATAACCTTGGCTGTGAAAGTAAATAGTATTGTGTCTCTGTAATATATGTGAATTTCAGAGGATATAAAAAGGTGCTGGGAACAAACAAAGCAGAGGAAGAGGATTGTTTTGTGTTACACACAAAATAATTATTTTCATTCAGACTTGGCCACATTACTATGAGATAGATGATACATTTCAGCAGCAGCAACATTTCTCATGCCGACAAACTGATATCCCTTTACTATATGTCACCATGCTATTGAGCCAGCATGACGCAGAATGCAGGATTGACCCTGATCTTGAGGTGAATCTTCTGCACAGTTTACTTGACATGTGGCAACCGTTCACAAACAAGCCAAATGAAGATTCAAATGAGTTTCTGTTTCAGTAGAAAATGAACAGACCTCCAGTGGGATGAATCATGCAGTATGGTGATGCGTGGTGTGCTTGAAAGGACCGATTCCAATATGTGACACTGATGGAGCTCAACAGTATGTTACAAAAGCATAACAAAACAGGTTTCTGAACAAAGAGGTTTTACGTAGGTATGTGGCTTCACTTGTTTTTCCTCAATGCCTTCATTACCCACTAACTGGAGATTCATTTAACATCTGAGGTAAACACTAATATTAGAGCATGTTTGAGCTATATCTTCAATACTGGAGCACTGTTAAACCCATTTACAGTGGTGTTTGCTCTTGAATGGGAGTGAAATGACAAATTATTTCTCTGTAGGAACATGTAAGCCTCCCTTCAAGGTTAATTATGGGCTTAGAAAAACATTCCAAAATCTTTGCCTTGTGTCAGCAACAATCTCCAGTGCTGTGCAGCATCAAAAGCACACCCTCACACATCTAGAGCTGGTAAGAAAATCCCAGTCCACAGAAGAGGAAGCATACCCTTCTCTCATGTCCTCACACTCACACTCATACACTCATACACTCATACACTCATACACTCAATACAACAGAGAGAGAGATACACAAACAGAAGACAGCTAGATATTAACATGAACAGTGGTGCTCTCCCCACCTCCGTGATCCTCAAAGTACTCCTCCTCAAAGTTTGCTTCCAGCTGCTTCTGTCTCCTCCTTTCCTCTTTCATCTCCTTCTCCTGCAGCTTACGAGCTATGGCCTACAAATAAACAAGACCACAGTAAACATGTCATCCCACACAAATATGAAAAAGTCTCTCTGTTTGGGCCAATATGTAACAAATATGTCACTTTTATTTTCTTCTGCCAGCCAGTGTAGTTTTAAACATATTAGATTACAGTGGTGAGATGCATTGTTCTCTGATGTTTCAAACAAGCTTTAGTGCCCTGAGCATTTTTCTTTATAGAACTACAGAGCAAGAAGATCCATCATTCCCTTAAATAATATTACTGTACTGCGATGAAACCCATCAATGCTGGTGTAAATATTCTTTTACTAAAGTTGGCATTTTGTTGGGTTGAACTTGGCTACAGACCATGCCCGTATTTTTTTAAATCACTTTTGAACTTTGCAAGGCAATGCTGACAGAGTTGGCCGCTTTGAGTGGAAGTCTGTGAAAGGCTGTGGTCGTGTCGAGCGCCACACCCTCAAAGTCACTGTCCTTTGCAGCTCTCGGATGCATTATTTAAATTTGCTGGAGTTGAGGAAGTTAACTAGCAGAATTGAAGGGGTGTAGTTTACACTTTAAGATAAAGAAGAAATAATCAGTGACTCTTGAGATTATTTTGAAAGATCTACTAGGAATTTAACCTCTTAGGGGCAAATCCATTGCCCTTGCGGGGCAAACATTGGCCTTTGCGGGGCAAACCACAGATACTGATATTTGAAGTCATTATCAAACAATATCAGGAATTTACGAACATCCTTCATTACTGTAGCATGCAGCATCAGTATACTAAATCTCTGGCTCTTTGCTTAATTGCCAAGAAACATTGTGATTACATTATATATTTAAATAAAGAAAATACAGGTCAGGTCACTATGGCTGTCATTCCGTGTACAATGGGAAAGCACAAACATGATTGTTGATCACTCTAGTGGAATGACCCACCCATTAAGTACACTGATACTTAGAAACTCCAAGTCATTGACGGTCGATGTAACCTGACCATACGCTGAATGGGCAGAAAATGTCTGTGTTGTGTGTGTCCTCTGTGTGTGTCTCTCTGTGTGTGTCTCTCTGTGTGTGTCTCTCTGTGGTGTGTGTGTGTGTGTGTGTGTGTGCTGTGTGTGGTGTGTGTGTGTGTGTGGTTGTGTGTGTGTGTGTCTTACTGCATCCTTCTCTTCCTGCTGTCGCTGTTGTTCTGCCTGTCGGACCAGTTCTTCCTGAATCTCCTGGGCGATCTCATTATCTTGGCGCTCACTGAGGTCCACACAGGTTGATGTGTGTCCATGTATATATGTGGAGAGGTTTGGAGAACATTAAAACATGAATTACAGATATACAACAGTTAATAGCTCCAGGATTGTGACAAAATCTCTAGCAATTTTTAATCAGTAATGTTTGTAATCATATTAGTAAGGATGTGGATGATGATGATGGCTAAGACAGTGTCAGACCAGTGTTTAGAGGCGAAAAATGTTTTTGTTATTTCTACATATGTATGTCTCATACATATTTGTTAAATACTTCAATGTCTTCCGTTTTGAGCACTTCCTCCTGATGTTTCTGTTGGATTTCTTCTGACCCTCAATACTTTGTTTTTCCAATTCTCCTCGATACCTTTTACCCCAACTTGCCATGAAGTATTCCAGCCTTAAGCCACACTGGATTAATATTGCAGACTTAGAAAAGGAAAATGAAAACACTCTATTATACTGTATCACGTTACACCAGAGAAACACAAGGCAGTGAAGTTATTATCTAACATGTTGAGAGTGGGAATGTGTGCACTTCAGGCAGGAGCAGGAATATTTTTGCCTGTTGTGATGTCGATCTCAACAGCTCACTTTGGCTCACTCACGTCTTTAAACGGCATGGTTTTGACAACAACACCATCTGTCTGGAGGGCTGGTATGCAAAGATCATTTTTTTTTGTTTGTGTGTGTAGACACACATGAGTGTAATTCTTTACTTAAGAAGACACAGCATCAGTGTACCTACCTTGCACTGTAACTGCATTTGACCTGAGCAGCTGACAGCTAAGGAGGACTTAAGCTGTCAAAGGTAAATAAACTATCGGGCCTTAGAGTGCCTTGATAGGTATGTACTAAGAAACAAATGACACTGCACTCCCCTGTGTGTGTGTGTGTGTGCGTGCGTGTTTAGTCAAATGTTTCAGAGTGGGTGTATATGAAGTGGCATTGGCAACACAGGGTGGATGGCAGTGTGAGCTCCCAGCATGACAAGCGGCACTGGCCTGCCTGCATAGATGGTGGAGCATCTGGTCTCTCCCTGGGGGTGCAATCCCACTACTGGAGCTTTCTGGCTCTGTGTGTGTTTGAAACGGTCATTAAACTGTGAGTCAGCAGTTTTATTTTAATAAAGATTTCGGAGCAGAGAGGGGGGCTTATGTTGCAGCTCCTAGTCTGGACTGAACAAGCACACGCATCTATGTTTAGGAGTTGTCACTGCCCACTTTGTGGGGAAGCTGCATAGCTTTGGACGTGAGGCTGGAGCTGACCCAAAGCCCTTAAAAAAATATAATTATATATCAGGGCTATGGAGATACCACACAGAGACCACAAGAACTGAATGGTCTGCTTGTGTTTTCTCCTCCATGTTTATGATGCTGGTAGCAGTTGCTGTTAGTGAAGACAACATCTATCAAACTGAAGACAGGCCTCATTCTCTTCTCTTCTTCAGAGCGGTTTTAAAGCTAGTATATTTGGTGATCTAACAAAGCCTTTACCTTCGCCACACAGCAATAGTTGCTCTTCATCCCAAAGTCAGTGTAGAAATGTAAAGTCAATTACATCTCATGTATGTGAATGCGGGACTCCGTAATCTCCTCCTCTTCAGTAATCAGAAAACTAGCAAACAATACGAAATCTTTTCATCATTGATCTCTAGCAGACACTGAATGAAAGAGCATTCACAAGCTTATTTCGGCTAATAAAAGCAAGACATGACCTTAATTTACGGCATTAGGGTTAAACCTACACTAAATCAATTTGGAGTCATCTGTGGCAGGAGTGTTGGATCACCTTGTATAAATCCGTCTTAGGTTTTGGGAGTAATTACACTCATCTGAAACAGAGGCTACCAACAAAGCAACAAATACTGTACACAGCTATTATTATAATATTATTATATTAAGTTATTACTTCTTGTGTTCTTTGAGGGGCCATAGCTTTCAATTAAATGAAATGTATCATTAAATATGAATAAGAAATAAGAATATAAAGAATTGCTCCTCATTATAGGTTGCATTACAATTTTTGCGTGTATGGTTTTACTGCCCATTTCTCCCAGTGGAATTTCGCTTTGATATAGACATGTATAAATGATGTGTGTGTGTGTCTGTCGGTTTGTTAGAGACACCCACAGGTCAACGTGCTGTTTTTGGCTCTGGACTTTGGCCCTCTTATCCTCCTCCTCCTGCAGCTTCTTGGCCACCTGCAGGTCCTTCTGCACCAGACGGCTCTTATTGACGTTGGACGCCAAGTGGCTCTCAACTGTAGACACAAACACATAAGCACTGCTCTTAAAAGTGTGTACACACAAACCAGAGTAGGTCAACTACTGCACTAGCGATGAATTAGAAGAATGATGAGCAGCTGAGCACCGAGGGGTTTAATTACAGATCGACACTTTCTTGATGTGTTCCACTTCTGAGGAGTAGTAGTATTGTTTGGATGGTCTGCAGAGAACACTATTAACATCGAGGACACAGACGCTTCAGTCTCTGGTAATAAACAGAGAGCGCTCTTAGTCACTGAGAAATGAATGTTCACAGCTGAGGTGCCGCTCCAAGGTTGTGTGATGGCACGTTGTGAGCCATAACAGATAATAAATCCTGCTTGCTGACGCACTCTCGGCACTTGGTAAGCATGGAGAGCATCACTCACTCCTTAAGCTCTGTTTCACCTGTCTATCAATCTGTTCCCAGCTTTCATGTCAAAAGGACCAAATTACGTTTGGCAATTTACCCGTGAGAGGCCCCATAAAGTTTTTTGCTTTCTGACCTCGTGGAATTGAAAGAGGAAACTGAGTCACAGCTGTGGCAACTTGATAAAAAGTCAAGGGGTTGACATTGATTTTTTTAGATGACACTGATCAATTGTTTAAGTGTATGACACCGTACAAAACGGCAAAACTGATGTCACAACCCAAGGTATGGCTATCATTTATCCACTGCCACATTTTTCATTGATTCATCTTTCCAGGCAGGAAAAAAAAAAAGAATGAAAAAACAAAACAAAAAACATGACCGGACATTGTGACATTCGTTCATTCAACAAACTCAACCTTGAAGAGGTCTCCCGTCATTCAGAAAAAAGGGGCATTGGGGTGAGAAAGCTAGACTATCTGAACCTTAGACGTAGCAGGGATCTGTACACTGAAACAGAGAAAACACATTCCAGAAACAAAGACGCCAAGAGCTGACACAGCCATAAAGAAATGTTTTCCATGCGACATTTGGATGTTTCAGTGTTCTGCATGCTCAACATTTTGAATGGAAATAAAAGCCAGCTGTAACTCCACTTCAACTTGAAGTCAATGTGCCAAGAAGCCGATCTGGGAGGGCCATCTGTTGTGATCCAGGAAAAAAAAAAAAGGGACACTGCTTCTCCTCAATGACCCTTGGGGTCAAAGGTGAAACAAACCAGCTCAGTTAGTGTGGCGACAACGGGAGATGAGCCTTGGCTATAGATCACTGAGGCTCTAAAAGGGTTAATGACAACGCAAGGACACGACAGCCAAAACCAAATTAATCACAGCTAAAAAAAGAGCCGAATCTGCTCTTACGGTATGGCTGAATAACATCGGGCCTTCTTTCTTGCAAGAATTGTTGCATAATTTACCCTTTTATGGTGATATAGAGTGACATATTTATGGAAACAGAAAAACAAACTATTGTCTGAAGAAGTAAAAGCGGTTATGTTTCCACTGTCTACATTCTAAATGCATCCATCCCTTCGAAACAAAAGCTAACCACAGAGATCTAAACAATTTCCTGCACAATCTGAAAGCAGTAGCCTGTTTTTGTTGGTTCCTGTCATTTCTGAATGAATGAGTGCATGTGCAGGATATGATGAGTTGTGGTGGCCATTAGCCACCTTCAGATATTCATTTGTGTCTGATTAAAGGAAGGCCTTGTTATGTCTGGCTGTGTTTGTCAGTGCCTCCTGGAAGAAAATGTCCTTTCTAACTCAGCAGAATATGGCAGAACCTCCAATGAGGGGCCAGACGTATTTCTACTAGAAACGTTAAAGCTTTTAACAATGACATTTCAACAATTTGTCTGAATGCACCTAACTGAAGAATGTGAAAACGATGCCGGGTAATTACAGACGAATGAGCTCACATAAAAGCACCAGCAAATCTAACAAGGCATGCAGGGACAAACACATAGCGAACAAAAAAAACACATGATCCCTCGCCTGAGTCAGACACGAATTAATGTGATCTGATCTAATCACATGCACCAGTCCACTGTAGTCTGTCACAGCCCTGCCCTGACACAGTATTGTTGTGGCTTCCCGCATCATTCACACTGCTAACCGTGTGGCTGAAGTAGGGTTTATGTCGGCTTAATCCAGCTGCAGCCACTGACGCTGCAGTTTACTCTGTTTTCTAGAAGGGACAAGAGGAGTGTGGTGGAGTCCTTGCTACTCTCTGAAAACATCTTTCATAGTTCGTTCTTTTGCGAAGTAAACATTAAGTGACCTACTGTAGGAATGCAGCAGGGCAGCTTGACAAAAAACAGTCCACAGTGATGTAATGGGCCTGATGCAGAAAACATTACAAGAATAAATGACATAAGTGTTTAAACAGACTGTCTGGGAAAAGGAAATGGGACCTTTGTATATGAACGGGACGAACCCATCTAAAGCAGCCGAGCTTGAAAACCGAAAAGCGGCAGATGTCTCTTGTTTGAAGTAAGTAGGAGTTATTAGTCTCTTGGGTGGGGAAGGGAGGCAACTCAAAAACCATAGCCAATTTGTAGTTTCTTACTTTCTTGTTCCTGGAGGTTGTAAGCCAGGCAGTGATCCTCCAGCACAGCAAAGTCTCGGCACACTGAAAAAAAAAAACAAAAAAAGAAAGTCTGAAACTGAAAAAGAACACAGATAGATCATTATAGTTTCAACTACGGCTGATGAAACTCTTGCTGTTAGCTGGTACAAGTCACAGAGGCAGTTGAGTTGTTAGATCTAAATCTGACAATTACAGTTTCAGATGCTTAACATCCGGCGCATCAGCCTACACAAATAGAACAAATATGCGAAAGCTGGCCCACAGGTAGCCAGGTCAAATGGGTTAACCAGAACACACAAGCACATAATCAAACGGGCGTCAGCAATTCAATTTCGATTGTAATTTGTGAATTTATTTCAGTGGCTCTACTACTAAACTCATTTTTATGTGTGACGTACAGGTTTGCCTTGTGAGCCGAGTGACTACTGGATCAATTCTGTTTAACACTTCATGCCCAGCTTATTTACAGGATATGACACATTTAAAAACTGCACATTTACATATTCAACAAATTAAAAACCAGCCCCAAACAGTTTGAGTGTGATAAAGAGTCGGGCCACCTGGCTTGCGGTTTGGTGATTTTTTTTGTCCGTAAGACATGAAGTGAAACTGTGAATGAGGAACCACCATTTGCACTCAGACTGTAAAAACTAAATAAAACATGTGGGAGATTTTGAGACTTTTGAGACTTGAGATGTGTGACCTTAAGTGAGAAGTAGTTAAAATACTGAAGAGCTGTGGTTTGAATCCTGCCTCCCTAAGAATTTGTGCAATTTGCAAAGATTAGAGATAAATGTATTTATATTTGTTTAAATCTGGTGATAAATCCCAAATGCTGATGTAGCGAGTGAGTAAAATTATCTTATCAAAGCTCTAACCTAAATTGTCAGACAGCGTGAAATCTGAAAATATGATCTTTTGAACAAATCCATTTACTAGTGAGTCACATTAACTGTAACTGAGTTTTTGACAGGACTGATACTGCGCGCATGGCTAAAATCATGACCTCAATTATCTGCATACAGAGTATGATCACAATTTTTAAGCAAGCAAGATTTCCCTGGGGGAAAAAAAAAAAAATCTATTTTACGGTTTGTTTTCCATCTTACATGGACATCTTCACAAAATGTTGACAGCAGACTTTCCATTTATGGTTTCAAAAGCAGAGATACGGCCAAAATGCTGTGCATTCTGGAAACAATTGTGCAAACTGCTGTGGGAGGGGACATTTCCTCATTAAAAAAACCCTGATACCATCACCAAATGTGCTTTTCTTCCTTCGTATATTCGGGATCCACCAGCCTTCAAATGCTGACAATCTCCTGTGTAGGAAACAGTAGAAACTAAGACCTTTCTCACAGCCTCAGCTAATTATGGATGTGTGTAGCATAGGATGTGTGTACCTTATAGCGTCTACGGTTCAGTCGGCATGGATTTAACTACCCTCAGTTTAGCATGTATCTTGAAATACCGCAGCAGGAAACTTTTTTCAGCTGCAAAACTTGTGTAAACATCGTTGCATTAAATATAGAAGGAAAAAAATGAATCAATGATTTCATCTTGCAAAAAGCCATACGCCACTCTGCTCAGTGAGGACCAAAATAAAGAATAATTTAACTTACTCAGAGTATTTCTTTTACATACTCTTGTACTCTACACTTGTTTTAAGATGAAAGTTGATTCATATCATACATCATATATTATATATTATTCTGTCATATCAATCCTTACTTTGACACTAATCTTGTATTTAAAGCTCTCCTCCTCCCAGCTTTCATTACACATGCGAGCCACACTCAATAACCTCACACTGCTCTCGCAAAGATTCATCCACATAAAAAATTAATAACCAGCAACAGTCTATGACTATGTGTTTTGTAGCATTAAAATACCTGGTGAAAACAATTATTTGCCAAAAGTATTGACGAGCACAAAGACGCCTGGGACTCAAATCACTGACGTGGTCCAGATTGTCTGGTTGTATTAGATGCGAGTTACTGGGTGAATGGTTGGGTTTAAACAGATGCTGTGGAGAAGAGGGCGAGACCTCCACAAAGCCCCCCTTAGTGTCTCAGAGCAGTATGGGATTTGATTAACATTTCACAACCATATGCTTAATCTTCTTAGCCAAGAAACCTGAGATTATCTCTGGCTGGTATAACTGTGTACAAGAGTGGTTTTAACTACTTTAACGATTTAGGTTTGTGTAACAGTAGCTTTTAAAAGCTTCCAAGATGCGAGTATCTAACTAGATCTAGATCAAACCACCACCAAGCAACAAGTGACAAAAGAATAACAGCTGCAAGCTCTGGTTCATTTGATGGCTTTGGGCTGGAAATAGAAAATCAACCTAAAGTGACATCATGAGACACAAGCTCAGTTCCTTTGAGAGTTACTGTACTACTAGACAGCTCACAATATTTACTGTCTTCCAAACACATGGGGGATGAGGCTGAAACTTTTCCAGCAGCTTTCTCTGTCTTTCCCTCCCTCTGCAGACTAGCCAAGCAGTGGCAATGCACGTCCCTTCTCTCTCTGACCAGAATAACAAGCATCCTGCTGAGCAGCTGCTTCCCACCAACAGGACGGGTCCACTCCTTCCCACCAGCACAGCATCCCATTCAAAAAGCTGCCCCAGTGTAAAAGCCACACTCGCCACCTGCTTTCTGTACCTTCAAGCCAGTAACTGTAGTAGACCACGTTTTGAGTGTGTATAAAAGTTATGTGGTAGGGGGGCTTGGTGGTGGTGGTGGTGGTTTCTTGCTGGTCACACAGAGTCTTTGAGGATAATGTTTCAAAGCAGTAACAGATTTTACAACCACAAGTGCAACTGGATACGTCAGATGTGAAAATCAAAAAGGAAGAGGCCAAAGGTGTCTTTCAGTCCACTGTGCACGCTGCTTTCATCACAAAAACAAATGCATCTTACACTCAGAGCTCTGGTTGAACTACATACTTTACAGCAGGCAAACATGTGATCACACCAATGAATACAAGTTCCCTGACTGCTGCACTGTATTTACCCACACTGCTGTCGTGCCAGATTGTGTACATCCATTAGGAGTATATGTCCCTCTGCCCACAAAGCATTGAACCATGATCAGAAAAACAAACACTGTGAGGAATATGAAGGGGGGACACGGTGTGCCACCCTCTTTTCTCGGTGCTAAAAATCACGTTTCGCCTCTAACCTTGAATGGAAACACATTGGGATACAAAACCTTCTCTAGGTGAAGAAGTGTACTCAGTGCTGGCTAACTGACTCCAGCCTTTTTAAGTCTACTGGTGCTAGCATCAACTAGCAAGCTGTGCTAACACCCATAACACCCGCGGTTGTTGAACACCTGTGTTCACTCGGTTAACATTAGCCACCCAGCCACACAGCTAGCTTCACATAGAGCCGGCGAATATGTTTATGGACATTACCCTCTTTCACTCCAGGTAGTTTTTTCTTGTCGATGCTAACGTTACATTCAGCCATGTTGTCACCGATAATAAGTCAAAAAAAAACACAAGCGTTGACGTTGAATTACACTTCCGCGTTTCTTCCGAAGGTTAACCGCGGGTTGATTGATCGCCTTTGCTCATAAAGCCGATTGATGGTTCAGGTGCTGGACGGCCCTTTTGATTAGTTTTGGTAGCCACCCTCCCTCGATACGTCTCTGCTGTAATTGCCTGGCAGATACTCTGCTGAAGCTGGCGTGTCACGGTTTCTACGAGCGTCCCTCCCTCCCTGATCCTCCCCACGACCAGCCCCGCCAAGGCAGACCACCTTACCGAACGACTTCCGCTCAGAAATGTCAAAATAAAAGACTCAAGGACTCAAACATTACGTTATTGTGGCTGAATAGAAATATCTAAAGGTGGCATTCAAATGAATACATTCTGTCTGTCCTGAACTAATTTTGCCATAATGTTCAATTTGTATTCATAGCAAAGCCCGGATAAGGAAAAGCTTTAATTCTCTGTTTCTCTCCATGTGCCACTTCAAATGTTAACAATGTATGTGCCTATTAGATAGATAGATAGATAGATATTATTACATATTATGTAACTATGTTGTATTTACCTTGTATGCATAATGACACTGGGAATGGCTAAATAATAATGTTAATATATATTTTTTTGTTGTGTGTACCTGTTGTTCAGGTGGGGGGTGGGTAGGTGGATACTTGTTTGCAGTACATGGGGGGGTTGGGGGGGTACTAATCAAAGTAGATGCTCACTGTATTCTTTGCTTGTCAACACTTCCAAATGGAAAATATTTAAAAAAAAAATTAAAATCATGTTTACCCAGAACCTTATACATTTATTATACAGAAAATAGTTTGTTCACAGGAGCCCATCATAGTAAGAACCTTACTGACAAAATGTGTTTTTAGGGCTTTTCATTTAACATTTTACAAGGTAGCATTTCAACATTGTTGAAATGATTGATGTACGTACGTCATAAGACACCAGAACAAGTTACAACTGCTGAAGAAAGTTGTGAGATATAGTGTAATAAGTGAAGCTTGATTTTTTAAAATGTTTTTTGATTGGATATTAGATTACATTCTTCTGGGGGTTGACAACAATGCACACACTGCTGTAGTTTGTTAAAACACAACATCCAAAATCACTAATGTGTACAATAATAATTCACAGGTCACACAATAGCTGCAACAACATTTATTATATTACCATAAAATACAAAGATACTAATAGAAGCCAATCAGCAGCCACAACTTTCGGTTTAATTTTGAAGACCACATTGTCACACTTCCGGTATAACTCCAGCTCCATCTGTCTGACTTGACGCAGCTCCCTCCGCAGGGTCCAGTGACTGGAGACATCTGCAGCTGCAGCTACAATAAGTCTTCACCACGACCTCCTCTGGCCAAATCCATGATCCTAATGAATATTGATGCCTTGTGACATTTTTGTTCAACAAAACATATGTGAAAATGTTTTTTTATACTGGGTGTGGTGAAAACCTAACGAACACTGTACAAAGAGATAATCTGCTGACACGATTACAAATCCTTCCTGTTTATCTTCATGACCATTGTCCGCAGGGTTTCTGAACAGTCTCCCTGATATAAACAACACACTGAGCTTTAATCACTCACTCAATCAAATCAAAGAATCAATATAGAAATGGTGCACACACTGAAGCAAGCGCACCTTTTGTCCTTTAGATGAAGCAGACCAGACCCACAGCTGTGTTATTTACTTATTCTCTCAAATAAAAGAAGTTGAGGAAAACTCTAGTTTTAATGTCCTTTCTCAAAAAAAAAAGAACACGACACCTCGAGCACTGAATGTGGACGATATGTGCGCTAAAAAACAACAAGACAAAGCAGACTGACTACACAGTCGTTTGTTTAAATGAGTATGACATACATTTATAAGTAACAGTGAGTTACAAGCTTTCTGTGTGTGCTCTGGTTCTCTCTTTTTCACTCGCTCTCAGTTACACAAACACACACACACACACGTGTCATGTGATCTGACAGCAGCCGGTATTCTGATTATGTTAATGTGATTGCTCCCTCTAGTGTTCAGCATATGAACTTGCAGGTGTTTGCCACACTTGCAGCAGCCTGTTTCCAATTAATTTCCTTTAGTGAATGCATACACCAATTATAAATAACTGGTAGTAGTGGTCCATTTAATGGCCAATCAATAACACCATTAATAGACGCCTACATACTTTGTCTTACTGTTTATTTTTTAGCGACATATTACGAGGTCAACGTGGCCCTGACCTTATTCATTAGTGATGCAGTGGACTGGTTGGGAGCAAAAGGGGATCGATGACTGCATGGCTTCAGCTCAAACATCACACACGTTAATAGAAATTCAAAACTGGTTCAGTTGTTTGCAAAAGATTTGAACCATATTACTGTATAATTCAGAAAAAAAAGTAAGGCCTTGGTGCATGCAGCTGACATCTACTTCATATGAACAATAAGAAAATACCTGCTCCATTATTTTCCTCTCTAGTTAAGTCTAGTTTGTATTTGTGACATAATCTTTCAGGTACCTCATCAACACATTCAATTTGACTTTATACAAATTGGTAATTCGATCCCCCCCGACAGACTCTCTAGATGCTTTCAGGTTGTTTCAAGTTTCTAGTTTTATTAGGCCCTTGAGCTGCTTTGTACTAAAAAGCCAAAGACTAAAGAGATGGATTTGTGAAACATTATTGGTTGCAAGACACCAGACGTCAACAGGCTCCTAAGTCAAGTCTGAAGGGGTGCAATGCAGCCCTTTTATGAGACCCTCACCAGCCAGGTTCAGTAAATGCCAACCAGCTCATTTCCCTAAAGCTGCATAAGCACAATGGCTGCTCCTCTGGCAGAGACATGAGATGTGATTCCCTTGATGCACAAAATAGACCACAATGACTTAGGAGGTGTTGAGTAGTGGGATTGGCCGCAGTGATGGATGTTCTTTCAGCTCCGAATCAGTCCCGAAGCCAAGATTGAGGAGCTCATCTCCGGCTATGATGCACTTGCACAGACTGAATCAATTTACTTGCCCCCTCCTTCCCCAGACTAACGCACACCCACATCTATTTAAAGAATCAATTAATGTAAAAGAAAAATACTTGCTAGTGCCAAGAACATCTGATTCTGGTCTCTCATAACCAACAGGCTGATTGATAACTTCCTCTCTCTGTTTGATTTGCCCATGTCAGAGTGATGTAGGGTTACTGGCCTCGCCTAGAGCGTCAGATCACCGTATTTCACTTAGACGGTCCATGGTCCACGTGAAATTGTGGTCCATTGACGAAACCCACGATGACTAGCTATTGATTTAGTACGCAAGGGGCTGAGTGGCCCCTCCTCCTGGCCCCTGAAAGGATAAATATATTGACTGGATGGACCCAAGGCAGTGGATTGCTGGCCTTGCTTGAGGGAGGTCTCACAGTGTGGCATTAGTTTGGGACAATACAATGAGTACTATGGATAGGGTTACAGTTGTGAACTACTGCTTAGGACTCCTGGGTTTGTTACTACTGCAGGGAGTGTTGAATGTAGAGGGAAGGAGCCTATTCAACCCTGGTAAGTGTTTTATGTCTTTATAAAATGAAAATGCTTCTGATGCCGCATGCAAATACTGCACCCCTTAAATTGGTGCCATCGCCGGTTTAATGGCTAAAATGCAACAGGTTAAGAGATGATGCCTGACTATGAAATGGGATGGATGTGACATCATGTTTTGTGATACTTATGGTGCTTAAAGTTGCATTTTTTTAAAATTTGCTTTGTATATGCAGGAAACCATGTTTTTAATCCAAAAGAAGACACGGATCCCCAGGGCAAGATTCTAGCTCTGTTACTACACAAGAGCTTAGTTCCTGTTGAAAAGGATGATCCTCTAGGTGAGAGATGAGAATAAAATAGTGAAACTAATTTAAATAACATAGATGTATTCTTGCTGTGATGATGACTGATTTTCTTATCTGCAGGTCTTGAGCTGGCCAATAAATTAGCTGAATTAGAGGAGGTAAGGATATTTACACATTCACCTTGAAGCAACTTTTGAAAAAATGTGGATTAGGCAACAAAATCTATCAAGATCTACTACAGTGTTGTGTTATATAAATCGAATGTGTGCGTCTTGTTTCTGTTTTCCCCCAAAAGTGTGAATCAATTACGTTGACAGGTGGCTCTGAATGAAAAACTGTTACACTACCTCCAGAATAGATGGTGTATTAATACGAAGTCATGTCTCGCTGTGTTTAATCACTCTGATCTCTGCTTGTAGCTGCGGGCGCTCAGGGACGACCTGGAGCTAGAAAGGGAGATCACAGCCAATTTGGCAGAAGGCAAATCCATAACTAGGAAGAGGGGAGAACGTAAGTTAATTCAGTATTTTGATTAATGTGTATCGTACAAATGAATTTTTGTTGTAAAAAATATCATTTGCAGTCCTAATATGCTGCATGCAAGATATCATTCTACAAGTCTTTATCTCCTTTGATCTGCAGCTTGCTTCTGGAAGTACTGTGTCTGACACGGATACAAGAGGAGTACCACTGTGAAATCTTGCTGCAAAGCCCAACATAGCCTTAAGACTCAAAACACCAGTAACATAATCACACTGTATTTATCAGCAGCAATATAGAGTTGTACCATAATCAAAGTCATCAATAAATGTTTCATTTCCACTGCACCGAGGTGCTCTCATTAGAGTTTTAAGGACTGTGGCTTTATATCTTTAATCTGTAAATAATCAGCTACTCACTGGGAATACTTGAGGGTCAGATATGACAAAATGTACTTGACTGCAAAGACATATTAATATTCTTTTTATCTTTATTTTAGCATGGATTTTATTTGCCTGCTGCTTGTGTTTATGTCGCTCTCTTGTGGCAGAATTGGGCACAACAATTTTTTTGTACCACTGCCCAACATCACATCTGTTCATTTTACTAAATAAATAAAATTATAATGTGAATCTGTACTTTTTGTTTTTTTTGTTCTTTTTAAATCTTAAGGGAAAAAGGGAAATTGAAGATGACACTGAATGGACTTTTTTAAGGTTTGAAAATAACATTGCTTTTACATTACTTCTCATTTTAAAAAGACACAATATTACTGACAAAGATATCGGTCTTAACCCTCATACCTGCTTTTGTTCTTTATTTACTTCAAATATCAAATATTTTAAACAGTGAAATTAAGCGTCTAAGTGAAGGAATGTGGGAATGGTGCACAGCTGCGGTGACGGGTGAATTACTCTACAGTGAGGATAATATGACTGGATTTTTTGGAGGGTTACAAGGCTGAGTCACAGGCTTAGTCAAAATAATGGGAGAACTGTTCTGATCTGAATCAAACAGAGGGCACGATGAACACAGGAGGTTTCAGGGAAACCAGGCTGAATGTGACGCTGAGCTGCATTCACAGCAGCATCAAAACCAATACTTTTTCTATGAGGCAGTGAGTCTTTGCAGTGATGTTTTTAGAGCATAGTAATATACTTGCACTCAAAAATATCCACATGCACACAACATGGGCGTTACACCATACATAAATATCCACAGTATACCACATACATAACACATTCTTCTGTGTAAGGAGGCAGACTATTTTGATCAGTGAGTAAATGTCCAACATTTAATTTAATATTAAAAGGAAAGTTTCATACTGCAACTGACTGCTGACTATGGTGGTTATATTACATGTAGGCATACATAAATTATTAGATTGTATGTTTCAAAATAATAGCCAGTAAGATATAATTTAAAAAATACCTACAATATAAAATTATTTTAATGTAAAATTCTACATCAGATAATTACTATGTCATATGAAAAAGTTACGGACAATTAATCTCTGCTCTCTGTTTCTGCTGCTGCACCACCAGATTTAAGAACAGCTTCTTCCCACAGGCTGCTCAATTCATCCTCAGCACTCCATCTCATAAAATAGTACTTAATCAAATTTACTTTAAATATATATATACATATATATAGTTTTGTTTTTAAGAGTAGCATGAAGGGAACAACAACCTAATTTGTATTATACAACCCTGCATTGTTAAATGACAATTACATTTTCTTGTATCCTTGTTTTACCTTGGTTTTTTATGTTTTGGTTAGCGCCAACATTATCAGCTCTCGGATGACTTTAAAGGAGCAGTGTGTAGGATTTAGTGGCATCTATCTGTTAGCTGCAGATTACAACCAACTTGAATACCGCTTGAATACAAGCATGTTGGAGAAACTACAGTGGCTGCGACACTCATGAAAAACCCTGTAGAAAAATAGCGGTTCAACATAGCAGCCTCTGAAGATAAAAATGACTCATGTTGCACACTATACCTTTAAAGAGAAAAATATGACATTAGCAATCAATTGCAATTTACTTAAATGTGTGCCAAGTTGACAATTTAATTTCCTTTTTGACATAATTATTTTGCCCCTAAATTCAAGGAGGTCTAAGCTGACATCACTGACTGTGTCTCAGTTTAACTGTGTGACTCACCAATTAATCATAAATTCTACCAGAACACTTTCTTTGTCTCTCTGTCATACACACACACACAATATGCAGGGGTGACACATTAAAAAAGTGCTAGCTGTCAAATCTATTCATATCTGAAACAAAGTGATAGTTTTACTCATTTTATTTCTTACATTGTAATCAGCAGAAAAGTTACCACAATTATTCCTCTGCTCTGTCACACTACAGACATCTGACACAAAACATTTACAACAACTCATCAACTGACTTCATACAGAAATGGATGTTATCTGTTTCAGTTCAGTCCACAAATTGTAGAGTGGGGTCGTACCATCCTGTCAAGATAAGTCCACAGGAAATGAACCAACATCCTGTGTGTCACTCATATAGTAAAACATGCACTATTGTGTCAAGAATAGTTCTTGTGTGGACAAAAGTTGCATACAATATGCTTTACAACTTCAGAAAAAAAACCCCATAGCACATAACAGTAACACTGATGAAACTATGTAAAAGGCAACTCAAAGATCCCCTCTTGGTGCAGCGTTAACAGTTCCTAAAAACACAAAAAAACAAATACTACGATTACCATTACAGTCCAATATTAATGTAGAATTTCCACCATAAAGATGTTCAGTAAAATAAGTTCACTAAATGGGTTTAGTGAAATAGGTCATCATAAAGGTCAAATATTGTCATATATTTCCAATGGTAGGTGAGATGGGTAGTAATGTTCAATGGTTGGGCAACATGAAGGACTGTCAGTGGGATGAATGACTTTTGGGCGGGCATTTTGGTGGAGCAGAGGGCAGGGTCACTTGATAGACAAGGAGACCAGCTCTTCAATACTGCCCTAGAAAGAAGACCAGCACAGAGCACAGCAACATGATCATAACGTCAAACGGACAATGATGGATTCTTACTTCAGAGGTCGGTAGAATATTTAACTTGTTTTGGTTTTTATCCCTAAATCAGGTTTAATCTTTGTACTGTTATTTAAGAGAAAGACTTTTTATTTTATTTATATTAATTGTTTGAGAATTAGTATGTCTAATAAGAATTGAATTCAG